TCTATTCTTTGTTCGTTGGTGCGTAAGATGTCGGGGAAAGAAGGTGCTTCGGGAGTCGAGGGTGGTTCTTCTGGCGTGAAGACTATTCAGAGTTTGAATATCCACTCTATGAAGATAGATGTGAAGAAATTTAATGGCACAAACAACTTTGGATTATGGAGATGCGAGGTTTTGGATGCGCTGAACGCGCAGAATTTGGAGGATACCTTGGAGTTAGATGGCAAGCCAGATAACATTGAAGAGAAGGTTTGGAAGAAGATGAATCGAACGGCGTGTGGTGTGATTAGGTCTTGTTTGACTCAAGATCTAAAATATGATGTGATGAATGAGACTTCTGCGAAGAAGATTTGGGAGATTCTCGAAAGCAAGTATTTGACCAAGAGTGTGGAAAATCGCTTGCATTTGAAGAGGAGACTTTATCGTTTCCAGTTGAAGAAGGGAACCTCCATTAGAGATCACATGAACCACTACACAAAGCTTCTTGCGGATTTGGCGAATGTGGATGTCAAGATTGAAGATGAGGACAAGGCGTTGCTGTTGTTGAGTTCCTTGCCCGACGAGGAATATGAGACCTTCGTTCTTACTCTGATTAATGGGAAGACATCCCTTTCGTATAGTGAGGTCACTGCTGCATTGGTTAATTATCAGCTTCGGAAGAAGGATAAGGAGAATTCGACTGAGTCGGTAGCAGAGGCGTTGGTCGCAAGAGGGAAGAATCCAAACTGAAAGAATTGGAAGTCACAGTCTAGAGTAGGAAAAGATCAGTGTGCTTGGTGCAAGGAGACTGGTCATTGGAAGAAAGACTGCCCAAAGCTCGACGAATGGATGAAGAATAAGCAGAAGGGAAAAGGGAAGCAACCATCATCAGAAGCAAACATCGTATCGGATGGTAATAATTCTGACTCTTCTATTTATTCGCTTTCTATCAGTCCTACAGATAGCTATTCGGAGGAATCTGAATGGATGTTGGATAGTGGTGCGACCTATCATGTGTGCCCTAGAAGGGAATGGTTCTCCAGTTTTGAGAAGCTGGTGGATAGTGGTGTGGTGTACATGGCTGATAACCGTGCATGCCAGATCCTTGGGATAGGAAGAATTCGCATAAAGATGTTTGACGGGACTGTTAGAGAGTTAAACGATGTGAGATATGTTCCTTCTTTGAGGAAGAACTTGATCTCGATTGGAGCTTTGGTTGGAGAGGGTCTGAAGGTTCGTGTTGAGGACATGGTTCTCGAGATTACGAGAGACTCTCATATTTTGATGAAGGGCGTCAGGAGAAATAACCTGTATTACTTGACTAGAGGTATAGTGGCAGGTGGAGAGCTGACGACTTCTGTTGATTCGACTAGACTGCGGCATTTGGGGCTTGAGAGCTGACGACTTCTGTTGATTCGACTAGACTGCGGCATTTGGGGCTTGACCATTCCAGTATTGATTCATCGCATAGATTGAAAGAGGGTGCAAAGACCTGTAGTTTGAAGTCCAGTGAATATGTTGATATGAGCAAGAAGACCGAGGTGAAGTGTGGCACCTCTATTCACCGTGCTAAGGGTCGTTCTGGAGGAGTTCACGTGGATGTTTGGGGGCCTTCCAAGGGGGCATCATTGGGAGGTAATAGGCGTTTGGTTTCCTTTGTTGGTGGCTGTTCTAGGCGTGTTTGGGTTGCAACCAAATCCCCTTTGGAGAAAGTCCTAGTAGTATCCAACAGATTGAAGAAGTGTGTGATAGACAGAAAGGTGAAGGTACTCCATTCTGGTGGGAGATACAAGATGGACCTATTTCTGCATTGGAGCCGAGCTCACGGCATTTCGAGACACTTCGTTGAAAAGGAAATCTTGGGACAACTAGATAGGGTGGCAAATTTGGAGAACCATGCCTTACTGGAGGAGGATCGGTGTTTGTGGTCGAGCAATGGTTTGCAGAAGAGTTTCTGGACTGAGGCTTCGACATATTTGGGTCATCCTATTATAGAGTTGTCAACTGCTGTGATTGGAGGTAAAACTTCATTAGAAGATAGGTCTGGTAGTGTCACTTTGGTTGAGGCTTCGATGAGGAAACCAATTGACTCTCAGCAGGTGGAGAGTTTTGGACAGACCTTAGAGGTATCGCAGCGGGTGGAGATTGATGCTACTCCACATTGGATGGGGATTTTCCCACATACTCCAGGTCATTCTGCATTGGTTGGGATTCCAGCTGAGGTGACACAGCGTGGAAGTCATTTGGATTCGGATGCAGATGATGAGTTGGGTTTTGACTCGAGTGCAGCTGATAGATGCAGTTTGGATACGGCCATTGGTTCGCCTCAGGTGGAGGTGTTTGAGGCCATTGGAGGTGCTATCAGTCGCAGAGTTGATGATATTGGAGAAGGGTTGCGAACTCTTCTATTGGATTGAGGTCGTTCACGGCCATTTGGGTGAACTACGTTCGGCTTGATTCCTTGGGCAAGAGGATACGTAGGCAGTCTTTATGATGCAGCCGGGTTGGATTAGTTGATGGGGGTGAAATCGATTTGGTGAGTTGATACCGATATTTGGAGAGTGTTTGCACTCTCATTTGGGTTCTCGACTTGTTATGGATTGAGTCCGTTGTCGTGAATTGTTTCACTTCGTACTGGACACAACAAGTGAGGCATTTGATTTGGTTGGTGTCGGCTCAGTTTTGAAAAACTTCACCGAGGTGGAGAATTGTTGGAGAGCGTGGGAGACAAGACCACGTGAAGAGATGGAATTAAGTGGGGACCACGTTCTCATTTGTGAATTCTTAGCGCATGGAGGCCCACCCGATCAAGCCTGACCTTTGTTCCTATAAAAACCGGTAGCTAGGTTTTTTATTCGATGGGCAAGTACCAGGAGCAGGGTAAATCGCAGAGGGGAGCAAGTTTCGACGTCCAAAAGAAAAGAAAAACGCAGACTTGGAGAAAAAGTGCAAGTACAAAGGAGATTTTGTGTGCAGTTCTTTTGTGCCCTTTTGAGAGAGTTTTGTATGAGGGATTTGAGAGTTTGTGAGAGGGTTTAGATTGAGTGATTGTAAACCCTAGTTGTATTCTCTCCCTCTATTAGTAGATCCCCCTCTTTGCCCCGTGGACGTAGGCAGTTTGCCGAACCACGTAAAAATTGGTTGTTTGAGTTTGTGGCCATTGTAATAGTTTTTAGGATCCCTCGACGCGCAGTCCTAGAGCTGACGAGAGGAAGAGAAAATATCCCACTTTGATGGGTTATTAGGCTTCAGATTCTTGTTCCCTTTGAGAAACAAGAATTCTTATCGATCTTTCTCTCTTATTGTGCACCAGAAACTCTGCCGAAATTTCCGCTGCGCACAACATTAACCCCATCACCAATGCTCTGTTTTCAATTAATGCATATAAGAGGGTAAGGGAGAGAGAGATACTTATCTAGTTTAGAGTCTCCGATACAAAATGTGAACCCAACTAATTGCATGTGTTAATTTAAAGATAGCTTAACAGTTGCTCATTTTATAAAGAGTAGTGACTTTTTTTTAAATAACCGCGCTCCTGTTGATGGACGATTCATAGCGGGCTAGGCCCTTGTTTGAATACCCCAGCAGGTATAGAACCCTTGGGTCAGCGCCAGCCACGAAGTGCGAGTAAGTCTCATCCATAATAAGATGTGAGGATAATAAGGTGTGAGGATACCTGTTGAGAAAACCAAAAAAGGTAGCAACAATAAACAAAACCTTAAAAGAAAAGTTTTCCCGTCTTCCAATTTCTACGTTGACTTGAGACGCTAACAATAAAACTGCAAGTTCCCAAACAAAGTATAACTTATAATTAGTCCAAAATAACACTCAAAGGGTCTAAGGTTCTACATAATTGAGCAGTGTCGGATCTGGTTCTTTTGTTGGACATCAAATGATTCGAGGCCAACTTCAATATTTTTTATTTTCAGAGAGTAGAATCGTAAGTCCACAACAAAGCATGTTACATGCTTAGGATGACATTGTCCTAAAGATGCCACTGATAAAGGAGAAAATGCCCAAAGAAAGAGATCGCAAAAGCTAATGACTTTGTATAGGGGTAGCAAGCATTATTCTCTAAAATAACATGTGTGCTGCGTAATCCTCTCTCAATGGGATCAGTAATCTATATGTACTGTCTACGTAAGAAACGCCACCCTTTTGCTTTGTGCCAAATTTTCAAGAACTCCAAAAATAGCCTCACCCTTCAAAAACTAAAAAAACATGCTTGCAGAAAAACAACGTAAATCCTCTCATTTCGCAGAACTCAAGCTAGAATACTCTAATATTTTTGCATTGTGCACACATCATATGCACTAGTACTAGAGTACTAGAAGAATTTGTTAGTTTTAAGATGTGACCTGCGCATGTGACAACATGTGACAACTCTTCTTCTATAGTTTAGTCTACAGCAACTATGTGAGAATTATAATAGAAAACAATTGAATTATTATGTAGCAACTCATTTTGAAAAAAATAAATTACCAAAAAATAGACTAGTGAAGACCATCCCCTAGTCACACTGGTCACAGTAAGAGTAGTCGACCTCATCATTTCATCTTTTGGCAACTCATTTTACTGCAAAAAAATGACCAACTTATATCAGATCTCTCTATTGTAGCGCGTTAGTATACTCTAAGATATCCTCCAGAATGTATCCTTCTCAAGGACAACATCTCGAACAGCGTAATTTTACACTTCATTGTTAAACGTCATATATGTAGTAGACAAAAAATTTACCCTCGCACATGTAATGATCAAATAAACAGTAAATGCTAAGAAAATTTTAATAGTTATAGACTCTAATATGAAAATTAAATGAATCAGTCAGATTAGACAGATCAAGTATAATGAAATCATACCCGACACGGTTATTTATACGGGGTGCTTAGGTTATACCCATACAGAAATAACCGGGTGGGATTTAGATGACCCGGGCTAATGCATTAGGGAGAGACGTCTAACTATGAGTCTCTGTCCACGCGACTATGGGAAGTTAGAAAAATGAAGCAATATTCAATACTGGCAAAATCCGAATTCACCTCTTTCCAATATATAGCACATGCAAAGAAGACAAATCTTATATATTTCCACAAATATATCAATTGATCTCCCAAAGAGTCAAATGAACCCGTAACTTCCTACTACCAGGTTTCTCCATTATGATGAATACACCTCTGTGAACCAACAGCTGACTAGTTTACAAAATAAAGCAGTGAGCATAACATCTATAGAAGCAAAACTTACAGCACCTGCAAGAGATCAGAAGAAAAGAATGAACAAGTGAGAGAAAGAGGCCTCTGAATATCAGAAGGTATTCGCTACAAATATGAGAACGAACACTGAGCAAGTATTAAAACAGACTTAACGTTTTTCAAGTCTTCTTATCAGATCGACTGAGATTAAGATTGAACCATTTCTTCTTGCTAGATTTATCCTTCCCATCATCATTCCCATCATTCACGATTGGACTGTCAACCTTGGCCTCATCATTGGGAACTTTGCTGCTGCTGCTGCTGCCATCGCCGCTGCTTCCATTCGAATTCACAACTGGTCGTGTGGCTGTGAATGACGAGTGGATACTTTCTCTTTCTTTGAGAAGTTCGTCTACCTGCATCATTACTTCTATTTTTTAGAGACCAGCAATTGAGGTCCATGAGGGTTCAACCAGTAATGAAAGCTTATAGGACAAAAAGATTCAGAAATAATTGAAATGAGAACAAAAGAAAAGCTTAGACTTCTAGAATACAAATGATGTTTGATGCTATTAGCATCAAAATGTGCATGCTTGAACAGCAAAATGAATGGCCCACAAAAATACAATGGTCTGGCAACGAACAGACGGTGATGGTCAGCTAACGATGGTCCAAGTGTAAACAGTTTTAAGAGAGGTGGAAACAAATAGAAGAGAGGACAGGATAAGTAGTATTATTTTAACGAGCGTTACACTTTTGGGTAAAGAAACAGATATAAACTAGAGGGATCTATTTGGTGTAACTTACAGGATTTAGGAAACTTCTTCTCTAAAAATAACATATTCTGAGGACTACTCCAAATTATCTTATATGCTTTGAGGGACCAATACCTTAAAAATGCATTTGCATGCTACAACTAATTTTTTGCCGCATTGATTTATGATATGTAAATTTGGAATAAGAGTCTTGGAAATATAGGCATATAGGAACCACATCTTATTGTGTAATACATTTTCATTTTTCTAATGGATGATGGTGGAATCAATTCATAGTTGCTGTGTTATGTCCCACCATGAAAGCCTTTTTTTTGTTGCAAGGAATCTTGGGTTAATATCAGCCAACTAAA